CTGGGATCCACACTGCTGCCCAACCCCTGTCTCAGATTAAGACGGGAAGAGCCCAGAAGGAGCAGTCTGCTCAGTGCTTTTCCTGTCCTTCAGGTCCCTGTGTTCATAAATGTCTGCACTCAGGACAAGTCCTCATCCCTGCCTCTGACCTGGTTCAGAGAGGAAAGCACACTCCTGTCAGACCCAGTGAGAGGCCTGTCTCAGGGAGAGCCCCCCAGCTCTGCTGTGAACAAGACAGACTGAAGAAGTGCGACCCCAGGTGGTTCAGAGATGTTCCAGCTGTGGAGGGCCCTGTGGGGACGGGGAAGGTATGTAACTGAGCCCAAGGACACAGTTGCCCTGCCCTGTGGCTGAAGGGAGCTGCTGGTGGAGCAGCAGGAGGGCGAGTCAGAAGCAATGACCAGTAACACAGTGGGCCTGGGAAATGATGGAGCAGAGTGTGGGCCAGTAGGCTAGGGCCGTGGCCAAAGTGCAATGTAATGAGCCACTGGGGCGTTTTTTGCCAACTGGGAACTCCCTGTGGGGCTACGTGAAGGACAAGAGTTCAAGAAGTCAGGGTTGGCTGAGGTGACAGGGGGTAGGGGTGGGCTGGGGGCCTAAGGGGCTTGAGAAGGCAGGGCAGAGTCTGGGCCTATTGAGAGCTGGGCAGCAGCTGTAGCCCTGAATGACTCCATCTGTGTGTTGTGCGGGTGCGCTGTCCTGTGCTGCAGAAGGAAGCAGCAGCAGCATTCCTGGCGCCCATTCCTGCTGTTCCTGGGGGCAAAAGTGCACCCCTGGTTGAGAATCACAGCTTCTTGCTGATGACACTGGTTGTGAGAGGCTCTGAGGTTGGGTTTAGTGGAAACACCAGACTTCAGGGGAGCATGGGGGGGGGGGGGGGGGGGGGGGGAGAGAGCACAATATACAAGAGAGGTGGTGACTGATTTTTGGAAACCAGGTCCTGGACTTGGGACCCTCAAGTTCAATAGGGACACATGATTTACAGTTACAGCGCCTTGCTTGTTCAGAGAAGGCCTGTTTCTTATATGAGAATTTAAGTTCTTTTCAAAGAGAGGTGGAGGTGCCTACACAGAACAGGCTGGCCCAGTGCTGTTAAAACAGAAGCTTTTATTATTCATCCAAACGGGGAAAATGCAACATGTCAGGGCGTGACAGACAGATGGCAGTGGCCAACCAGGAGGGTCAGTCTACAGCAAAGTCCAGTATCGTTTGGTGCAGAGGAAGGGGCCAAGATGTGGGCAGCAGAGGGTCCCTCTGGGTGACGGCCAGGCAGCTCTGGGCGAGGCACAGGTGACAGTCCACACATGCAGGCCGCTGCTCAACCACACCCAGGGCTTCGTGCTCAGAGTCCTTCCTGTGTGTTGCCATCGTCCCCATGGGGATGGACAGTCCTTAGTGATTGCCTTGTCCGAGTGTTTAACATAATGCACAATGTAACCTTATTGCCAGGGAATTTGCACTGCAAATTTTACTATTTACACCAGCGTATTCCAAAAAACAGTCAATAGATACAAACATTTTGAATATATCACTAAAAACTAACGGCCATCACCAGACCAGAGCAAAGGGCCTGCTACAGGAGTCCATTACCAGTGTGTAAACCGTGCAGTAGGGAACGTGTCTACCACAGACACACTCCACTGTTCCCATGCCTCTTGAAACCCCACCCTGATGCTGAAGAGCTCAGGTTGAGCGCAAGATCAACTGACTCCTTCGTGAGAGAGCCCCCCCACTGAGCAGCTCCACTGCATGCCCACCGCTTTCCACATGAGCAGGGAGCCTGTGGAGACGTCAGGGGTGAGTCTGAGGGAGCCCTCTCCAGGAAGGCAGCCTGAACAGCAGGTTGGCCAGGGGCCAGGGCTGGGAGGCAGCGCCGTGTCCAGGCCATCCCACCCCGGCCTCTGCCCATCAGCCAAGCTTCCTCCTGGGTGGAAGAGACCTGGCTCTGATGATGGCTACCTCCAGAGGGTGTGGCCAGCCACTACAGGGACTAAAGGCTCAGCACACAAGCCTGACCGGTGGGTCCCTGGAGAAAGGCCTGAGATCAAAGATGCCATGGACCTAACAAGATAACCCTGCCGCTAACGGCCTACCCTAGAAAAGAAAAGACAAAAATGGCAAAGGCAGCAAGTCTCACCTTGACCAAGAGTCCAATCCACGTCTTGGAGCCCTGGTGCACTAGAAAGGCAAGCAGCTACAGGCTGGAGGCAGCCAGACCCTGAGGACTGCAGAAAGCAGGGCCAGGCTCCCCGCCAACACTTCTAGGAAGGAGGTAATCAGACAGACCCCCCATGGCTAGGCCTGGCCCATGTTGAGAGCCCATGGCACTGAGGGAGCAAGGGTGACTCAGCACCTCCTCCAAGCCTGGCAGGACCGCTCCTTAAGGAAAGGGGTGTCGGTGACGTCAGGATAGCTACCCCTGTGTCAAGTGACAGGAGAGGTACTTTTGGAACCAGGGCTGGAGTCTGAAGGAGCCTGGGGAGACCAGACACAAGGAAGGTTAGCAAATGACAAGCTCATGGAGGAAGCAAGTGATCTGGACTGTGCCACATCACACTGGCTCTCAGAGGGCGAGCACTCGCCATCAGAAGAGGGCAGAGCGGCAGGGACCCTACGTGCTATTTTCTAAATGGTGGAGAAGGAACATCTATCTTTAGAAAGGGACACAAAAAAACTGCCAGAGCAGCAGGAATACTTAGGTTTCAGTCAAAAGAAAACTTTCTAACCATCCTCTCATAAGCAGGAACACGAGACTGATGGCACCAAGCCTAGGGAGGTGGATTAGTGCAGGGCCTGGCTCCTGATGTCACTTCTGGTGGCTGACAGATGAGAAACCACCACCATCTGCGAGGCCGCCCAGGACAGGGCTGCTGAAGGGGTACAAGGCTGCACTGGGGAGACACACACACAGCTGAAGGGGTGCAAGGCTGCACCGGGGAGAGAGACACACACACACACACACACACACACAATGTCTGGCCCACATGTCATCTTCCCTTCCTGTGCTGCTGCTCTCTGTCATGAGTTCCATGCCCATGTCGGGTGGAACAGCCAGGCTGGTCACATACAGCCCTGGGGGAGGGAGCCAGCCTACTTCACAGGGACAACCTGAGTCCCTGGTTCCTTCCCCTCATCTTCCCACTTAGAGCACGGCACCGATGCCCTGAGCTGTCAGTAGTTTCTGCCTCTGTGCAACCACCACAAGTCAGTCTCCCAGTGCATGTCCATCTCTGCTCAGAGCACCCCTGCCTGGATCCAAGAACGCGAAGCCTCGGAGGCCCTGTGGAGGGAGAGTGACTCCCTGCCTGTGAGCGCGCCTCGGTGTCTCTTGCTCCCGCTGCATGGCAGAGGCAGGGCTGCCCCTGCTCAGAGCTCCTCTTAGGAGGCTATGAGGGTAAGTCCCCTCTGTGCAGGCACTTGTGTTGTCCCTTCTCCAGGCCCTCCCCAGCCAGCCTTGGGCTCTCACTCCTGCACATGCAGCACTCGGCCTCCAAGTCTTCCTCATGTGGATGGAGATGGTGCCCACCTAACGTCTTCCCTCGCACCTCACGGATAGTCGGTGACAGGAGAGAACCAAGCTCCTGCACTGCACGCCTGACTGAAAGGGAGGGAACCTGTTCTTAGCATTTTGCCCACCCTCATCAGGCTGCAGGTAGCATGAGACAAGACAGAATGCTTTGTTTGTCTTGGGACACAATCACAACAAGGACAGGAGCCCTCGTCCGGTAGTGGTTACTCATAGGGCTGCTAACTGCAGTGACACCAGTTTGAAGCCACCGCTGGTCCAAGGGATAAAGATGAGGCTTTCTACTCCTATAAAAAGTTAACAGTCTTGGAAACTCAGTGGCTTGTCTCCTTGTCTCCCTGGTCGCTATGACAGGTGAGTTTTTGAGCAGGAAGGAAGAAGCCTGCCTGGAAGAGTCTGCCAAGCTCTACCGTGTCTCAAGTAAAGATGGGTGATCACTGGCCCAATGAAGCCAATGGCTTTGTTTTAACCAAGACCTGGGTTAACCTCATAGTACAAACTGTAAACTCACCATCTAATTCTGACTCACAGTGGCCCTATCTGATAATGTAGGGCTGCTCATGTGAGTTTGAGACTGCCTACAGGAGTAGAAAGCCGCCTTTCTCCCAGTGGCTGGTAGATTTGAACTGCCGACCTTGTGTTAGCAGCCCAATGAGTAAGCCACTATAAGCCACCATGGCTAAAAGGTTCAAACCAAATGGAAAGCTAGGAGTTGTGACCTCCCCCAATCTAAAGGACCTTTGTAAAAACATGTCTGTGCTCACTTTCCTGAATGTGTATGCCCACTGGCTCCCACTGCCAAGAGTCAGACACTCCATGGCTTGGTGTGCATGACCCTTCACAAGATGACCCTTCTATGCCTCCCCCCCGACAGCCACTCGTGCCATCCTCAGCTACTTCCTCTACCCTTTTGTCCCCTCCCTCTGACTCAGCAACCAAACTCCTTAGGTCAGAGGCCCGCTGCTGGCTTTTCCACGGTGGGTGCACAAGAGAGAGGTTGGGAAAAGCTAGCTGGGCTCAGGCAGCAGGTGTAAAGGAAGTCTCTCATGAGTAAACCAAAGGCTACAGGGTAGGGCAGGGATGGCATGATTTGGCCACTGCTTGTTCTGTTTCCTTGGCACACAGCCCACCCGGCCATCCACATGCTGCCTGCGGGTGCTCTGACCATAGCAGAATTGTGTCCTCGGGATCAGGGACCACAGGAGCCCAGAGTCTAAAACAGTTACTCCCTGGCCCGTCACAGCAAATGCTGCCAAGCCTGAGTCTGACATCTCAATGTGCTACTGAGCTCAGAACCCTTCACAGCACCCAATGGCAGCAAGACAGAGCATCAGGAGAGGAAGGGGTGCTGTCCGTGGACACACTGCATTCCCACCCCCATTTTGAAAAAACCCATGCCTTGTGTCTGGACACCTTGAACCTTGTCATAAACTGACCTCTGGGTTCAACCACCCCCTCACCCCCGCCCCCCACAATGGTCTCTTCAGCCCCAGTCCCCAGCAGAGCTCTAGCCATGGCAACCCCGGGACAGTGTGGCTAAGGCAGACACAAATCTGACCCTTCCAGTAAACACAACCCTGTGGGCTTGCAGCCCTGGAGAACTCTGAGGAGGGCTGCATGGTAGCCGAGGTTCTATCCTTCTGAATCCAATGAGCTGCCTCCCTGGCCTAGGAAGACAAACCCACACTTAATGATCCAAAAAGCAGAAGGCACCACTGTGGATGAATGCCCACTACCTGTCCCTGCTCAGACAACCCCTTGATGGGGTGTGGGGGGGTGAGCAGCAATTCTGGGAAGGGCCAGATACAGACTGACCAATCCAAACACCTGAAAGCACAGGGACAGCCCATGATCAGGTTGGATGGGGCAACTCACCAACATCCCATCTCCCAGCTTTGTGGAGACCAGCCCTCAACCTGACCCCTCACAAGCATGAGCATCTGTCCACACTTTAAGCCTCCACGATGCCCCAGTCCTTCTTGCCCACCCCTCACCTGTCCTTTTCCTCTGTCGTCCATCTTTTACCATCAGCTGCCCATACTCGTCATTTCAGGCGGCAGGAGTGGCCTTGCACGCTGCTGGCCCAAACCCTGCCACTCCAGCCCGGCAGCCCAGTAAGTTGGAGCTGTCACAAGCCCATGTCCTTTCTAGGCACACAGTGCTTGCCCACCCTGCTATGAGGAGGCGGGAAAGGGGTGTGTGATTTTTTAACAAATCATATAATGTGTAGTGTTTACACGAAAATACAATCATCCAGCCATCAGCATCAAGCACAGCACTACCCGAACATGTGGGCCCAGCCACACACTTGCTGTGTAATTTTGGGCACGTCTTCTCCTCTCTACGACTCCACTTCCTTAGAGAAAGTGTCTAGATTACATGGTTGTGGTGGAATTCAAAACTAATTCCTAAGATCAGGCTCCCGTTTATACCTCCAAAATCAGCCTTTTAAAAAATGCAGTATTCAAGAGCCACAATGTTTTGCCACAAATAAGCAGGGTGGTTTAAATAAGGCCCTGAGCTTCAGTGTCCTTGTCTGTTGAGTGGGGACAACAACCCCTGCATTGCCACTGCCCCAGATGTTATGGGGCTCTGCAAAGTGCTGTATTCAACCGAGGCCAGGAGCCCCTTCTGCTCACACAAGCCAGTGCACCAGAACTCATGTAGCCTGCGCTTACCGCCACACTCCTTTCTCTCCTGCCCCTCTCCAGCCTAAGATAGGTTGCTCAGAAAAACTGCATGGTCAAGGAAGAGCATCCTTTTGGGTTGAGTGAGAAGTATCTTTCCCTGAAAAGGATTCTATGTCCATCCCCACCCCCACCAGCTCCTAAGCAGAGAACCCACGGGCATTATTTAGCAAAGGAGCTCGTGTGACTGACAGACTGTGCGCAGGAGAATCCTAAGTTCACTAGCAGTAGTGTGTCACTGACCTCAAAGCCAGCTCCACCAGAGCTCCCCGAGCAGGGCTCAGCCTCCAGGAAAGACTGGCTGAAGGCTGGTATTGGGGGAACACCCAGCAATGGAACCAGCATCTGCAGTCTGCTATCCCCATCTCTACCTGTCCCTCCAATCTGACCACAGGGCAGCTCCCCACATTCGCATTCCAAACCCTCTTCCTTATACCCCACCAGCCCTCAGAGTTTGGCTCAAATTGCTTAAGCTACCTGCAGGACCTATCTCAGGCAGGACAGCAAATGGGTGCTCAGAAACAAGAGGCTAAATGAACCACAGACCCGTCTCTCAGTGATGCCCATGCATAAAAACACGCTTCAAATACAACAAACTTCCTTGGTTTATAAAGCCACATCTCATCTATCAAAAAGTCTATCCAAACAATCATCCAGTTGTTTCGAAAGAAACTACCCTTGTCTTTAAACCAGGCTATTAGGTCTGGAATGACTGCATGGCTGAGGGTCTGGATTCCCGGGAGCCTGCAGGTCCGGGGTCGGCCCAGGCTCTGGCCCCTGATGTCAGGCTGACTGCAACCTGCTCGTTGCCCACCAGCTCCTGCTCTCCATCCCCAGCCTGTGCCTTCAGGCTGTAGTATAGTTGAAAGCGCTTTGTTGGGTGTTGAATAGAGCTGGGCTCCATTCCTGACTCAGACCCAGTTCCAAGAAGGTTCTGAGAAGGAAATGAAAATGTCCAAGTGCCTGGTGTTTGAAAGTTTCCAGTGTTAGCCCCACTTCCCTTCCTCTAATTTCCAAGCTCACTGCTGCTGCTTCGGTCTACTGCTTCGGTCTACTGCTGCCCAGCACCCCAAAGGACCTACACCAACCGAGTCACTGATTTACCTGGAGCATTTGCAAAGATCATTAGCCCAAACTATACAATGGGTTCAAGGTAGAAAACACTACAATGAGGCTGGGCTCTCAGGGAGTGCTGAGAGGATATCTTAGCCACAGCCAGGCTGATGCCATTCTATCCTGTTGGCCATACAGCAGCAAAGAGGATGACTCTGGAGCGCTCCATGTCCAGCTGATGTTGGCTTGTCTGACATGCTGGGACCACTTGGCGCAGCCTGTAGCCTTCCAAGCCCTGGTGAGCACTGAAGGTTGAGCTCCAGAGCTCACCGTCATCAAATACACGTTCTCATTATGAATGCAAGGGAGGAAACTTGGAGTCAGCAGGTAGGTGCACTAAGTGCAGCCCTTTAGTAGAAGTTCTAAGCACCCTTAAAGCCCAAATCAAGTATTTATCAGTCCCTGGAAGAAGCCTCGCCGGTGCTATAAATAACTACCAGAGCAGAAACCAGCGATGTCGTTCTGCTTTCATAGTGGCTTCACCATAGCAGCCCTCACCAGGTCTTTGGTTGGCATGTCTTGTCCAACCCGATGCTAAGGAGCCGTCCTCTCCCAGAGGTCGCTGGCCTCCCAACCCAGTTAGCACTAAAGAGCCAGCTGTACAAGCCACAAGCAGGCAGGCAGCCACACGCCCACCAGCTTCTCAGCCCCATCCACATACCTTTGCCTCCCTCACATGCGTCCTTTCCACCATGTACTGAGTATGTGCCAGGTACTGATCAAAGCCCTCTGTGTATTAACTAATTCCTGAACCTCCTGGGAATTTGCTGGATGAAAAGAAATGCTTTGGCCCAGATATCCACATGGTTTCTAGTCCCCATTTCCAGCTGTGCTAGAAAGCTTACATAACCTACTTTAAATTATGCTGCTTAAAAAAAAATCCAAAGATCATTGCTTCAAGCATGTTAGCGCCCACCTAAAATGGTGTAGTGAAGAAAAAAAATGTTCATTCTTACAACTAACTCCACTTGAATTCTTGACTTAAAACCTTTCTGGAAGGTGCTATTAGGAAAGGACGAATTCTTAGCATCTTCCAGATGCCCTCTATGTAACTGCCAGAGAGAAACACATCAACACTGAAATGCACCGCAGCAGAACGTGGTTCTTCATCTACACTACTCTTCCCCCAGGCCGCCTTGTAATGCCGAGGAACCTCCGGCCACTAGAGCGCTGCAGAGCCTGCGCCATGATTGTATGAGGCCTTCAGCGGCCTTCAGAGACTGGCCTATGACAAATAGGACTTACATGAAGATTATTCAGAGAGCGCTCCTAATACTCCTGGTATGGAAATGCCAGGTAGGCCCTACAGTTCTAGGGCTTGTGATGTTAGAAATCTTGCAACTTTAAGAGGGGCGGATTAAGAATTCCCCTTATTTCTTTTCCCTAACTCAGTACTGAAGATTGCTTTTCACTAGTTAATAATAAAATCTAAGAAACCTAGGGACTGACAATGAATGACTGATTATAAAGGTCACATTCTTCTCACGTCATCCAAAATACATGGTCCCTGTTATAACTACCACTTTAACTTGTGACCCCGTCCACACTGCTCTCAAAGGACGGGAGTGTTGGTACTCATTTCACTCCGTCCACTTCCTTCAATAGAAAGAGGTCCGTGAAACACAAAGCGGAGTTGATTTCAGGTTCTCAAAATGGCGAAGGAAACAGTTCCATTTCTGTGCTATTATCATTAAAGGATTGGATTATTAAATAGCAGAAACAACTCTGTTGCCACTGCAAACACAATTTATCTCCCAAACTAGGATCTTTATAGCAGGTTCAACTCCACCAACACTCTTCACTGGTCAGAGCCTCTGTTTCCTTTTCCCCTAGAAAAGGAGCTGGCACCTGAGAGGCATTCAGCTGTTTGAGCAGGTTTGGGTTGCACTTGGTACTAGTCAGCTAAACCTCATACAACTTTTCGTATAAATGCCAAAGCCACATTAAATGTATATACAGATTCTGTATGGGAAAAAAAAGTTGTTCCAGCAACCTTAAAGTTAGTAATATAAAGAAAACTGCTACTTATAAACAAATATAAAACATAAGATTCATTTTAATCTCTATATATCTATGTATATATATATATTTATATTTATCAAATACAGCCCTAGCACAGACAGCTCACACATATGAAATGCATTTGTGAGACACAGACTAACCCAAGGGGATCATTACAATCCCTTACCTAACCCTCCCGTCTCGTAGGATGGACTCCGTGACGGAGGACTACAGTGGGAAATAAATCATCTAACTCCTTAACCTGGAAAGACGGATGGATAGCCTGCCCGACATCGACTTGGTCTCTGCTGCCTGGGTGTTCACCATTCTGAGTCTCGCCCAAGTCGGTTCTCAAGTAGCTTAACAACTCTATCAATTACATATTTCTCCATAGTTACCTTAATATTTTGGTTTTAGTTTCTATTGCTTTTTAAACATATGGCTTCTTGCTGCTGTTGTAGTCATACAACACAGATCAGAGCTTTTCATTCCTCGAAGAGGTTTCTCTCCTGGAGAAATTGGCACTTTGATCCTCAGCTTAAGTAACAGCTACATACAAATGGACCCACCAGCGCTGTTACCAATCTTGCTGCTTATACAAATGCCAGAGCTTTGGCCAAAAGAGGGCTCTGATGTTAAAATCTTAGGTGAACTGTCCCTACCACTAAATTCTTGTATTTAAAGCAGTTACGTGTATGTAGTCTACATACATGTAATAAGTTTGTATACACACACAATCTAGCAAATGTGAAATTTCTTTCTTGAGTAGAAAGTAATTACAAGGGTATTAAAACAAGTGCTGAAAACAACTACTTTACATTTACACTATCAAGTTTTTAAAGGTGGGATGATGACATAAGACCTAAGAGATCAAACACATCCTGTATGATTGTCACATAGGCATGTTGCGTGTAAATTGACTTTCAGTTATTTTTCTCTTTAATCAGAAAATAAAAGAGCTTACCTTTTTATACTGAGATCACAGCTTACAGTCACTACAGTTCGGCCTATTTTATACAAGTGATATGGCTACGAAGGTCCGAGGAGAACGAGAATAAAGTGAGATAAGCGTGCTGAAAACTGCTTAAAAGTATTAACCTGAAATACACAGAGGGTCCAACACCAGTTTAAAAATACATTAACAAGGTATTCCCAGCTCTTCAATTAATAATGGTAATGGACTGATTCGTGGTTTTCAAGCATTCATCCAAATTAAAAACAAAAGAAAAGGCTAATACTAGCAAAATCTACCAGGTGGTTTGGTCCCCAGGCGAACGATCTGAGAGACTTCAGTAACCATGTAAGCCCAACTCCACGCGTCAAGGTCCCATGCACTGCATCTGTCAGCATGAGGTATGTTGGGAATCTAGCGGACTGATTACCTTGCACAAGAGACGGGGTGTTCCTGCAACCTGAAGAAATCCAGGGTGCAAGCCACATCCCGGGCACTCAGCCCCATGCAAACAAAGCATATGGCTTCAAGGAGGAACCCTGTCTCTGAGAAATGATAGCAGCAGTACCTGCCGCAGTTAGGAATGCAACTATGCCATTTATGTGCTAAAAAAGTTTAGAAACTGTCAGAAGATAACATAGCTCACACACTAATTCTAAGTTCTACATTGGTCTGTAAACTCCCCGACATGAGACTATGCTACAAGGGGTTCCGAAGAGATATTGCTAGGTTTCCAAAGAAAGGTTTTAAAACGGACACATGGCTTCGAATAGAGTAGTGCTCTTCTTTCAAACGCTCAGTCATTGCTTTCAAAAAGGAGGTGTCAGGGGTGTGTCTGACAGCTGGAAAGCCTTGGGGTGGGGGTGGGGGTCACATTGCTCTTAAGAACAAGACATAGAAATTGCCATTTCAAGCCAGACAACCTGATGGTTCTAGAAGTCAGAGAAGAAATCTTGAGGGCCCAAGTGAATAATAAATGGTGCGACGCTCAGAGGCTGGCAATAGGGGCTGTCAATGAAAAAACCACCTACAGCGGAGAAAAGAGCAGAGAAGCAAAACTTTGTTAATTCCACGCAATTTGGTGAAGCCAAGAGCTCCATTTATATTTCTCTGCTCTTTCAGCTGTACGTGGAATTTTCATTACAAAATGAAGGGGGAGGAAGGGTGAAAGGGCAGGGGGGACACTGAATTCATTACAGAATTTAAACAGTTGAACTTGCATGGTTACCACTTCTAACAAAGGACTGACAGCTCAATTATTTTAAGTAAAGCAGAGAAATGTAAAAGTTTGCAGCAACTGGGCAGGTTTACAACATGGTTAGTAACTTCCAACAAACAACAAAATTAAAAAAAATAAAAAAGACTTGGTAGAAACCATTTGAAATGACTGCCATCATGTTGGAAAACAGCACAGCTCCCTCTTTGCCATTATAGAGGGATTGAGTAATGAAGCAGAGTCAGCTACTTCAAAAGAATTTTCTAGAGAGAAATCTCCAGAGAGATTCCAACTTGGAATGCAAATTTGACGATCAATTCAAATAACAATACAGCTGCAGCTGCCAATTCATAGTATTCCAAAAGCAAAGAGGACTGCAGTAAATATTTAATTAATACAAACTGGACACGACCAGCCATGCTTTTTCTTCTCAGTGATGGCTCTGTTTCATCCATAGGTCAGCAAAACAAATCAATGAAACATGAAAACTCCCAGCAGAAATGGGCCCTCTGTTTATGTCTAGCCACTAATGCACAGGATGAGAATGATACGTTCACAGCTATTTCCAGCAAGTGATGAGGTTTTATTAAAGTATCACCCACCACTCAAACTGAACAAATCACTGTTGTTAAGTACTTCTGAGAAGCTGTCCTAGTGCGTGTTTTAAATTGCCCATTTCACCCACATTGAGAGGTCCCACAGAATTCTGGAACATAGATCTGCCAGGTTTTGTCACGCCCAGGCTGACTGATGGGCAGTGTTCAGCTCTCAACACAAAATTTAAGGAGAGAGAAGCTAATTCATGCTAAGAACGACAAACCTTTGTAAGACAGGCCAACTTAAACATTGGCATGAGACCACACGTCCTCGCGGGGGTGAGTACCTTAATGAAACCATTACCTTCTAGTAACGTTACAGGCTTTCCAATAAGGTGAGAATGCCAGTGGAAACGTAGGTCTGCATCCTTTACAGAACAGCACAATGTTACCGACTGATCGGTTTTTCACCAGCTTAATCAGGTGTCTTAAAACAAATGCTGACCCATGGCTGAAACCTGTCACTTTTCACAGCAGCACTCAACAAGAACTGGGACAATCGAAGAGCAAGTTTTTATGGGGACCCTGTTGCTGCTTTAGATTCTGATGTAATTTCAGAGAAAAAGGAACCCTTCAATAAATCCCAGAAAAATCACTAATCTCTGATCTGCATTTAAAAAGCCAGGGAGTGAACATAGTATCTTACAGAGTGAAGAAGGCCACAAGAACAAGAGTGGGTGATTGATCGACTAATTTATTATTTTTAAAACTTGGAAATTCAGAAACTTAAAATAATCACCCTCCTCCTTCCCCATCTCCGGGCAGGGCCGTCACTGTGGTAAGCAGCACTCTGATAACCGACTAGAACCTCTTTCCCCGAACGCCCTCTTGCAGCAGGAGTACCCAGGGCTCACAAAGGCAAAGGGGACCGGCTCAGACTAACCATGGCCTTTACTTTGTCGTTTGCAGTTTGCTTACAAATGAATGGGCTCTAGAACTAAGGAAAGATTAGTTTCCAATTCCTTGTAATTTGCTACCAAGACATATCAAAAATAATAAGCTAAAACAATATTCAAACCCATATTTTATTGGCTTTAATTACACACTTGGATATTTACAAAGTTAACGTTTAAATGAAAAGTCTCTATTGTATTAATAAAAATAACGACAGCCCAGACTTGAAGTGCCCTGGGGCCAATACAAGTCAGTCAGCTAAGGGTCAGTGACTGCATCAGGAACCAGGCAGCACTCTTGTGTTACAACAAAGCAGTTTATTTGTGATCAGTGTTTGAGACTCTATACATCCTTCACAAATTTAATTTTACATAATCTGATACTTCTCGTAAAACTTAAATGCTTAACTGCTAGACTTTAATTTCCCTAGAACAGAAGGGCTGGTATAAGTTATTTTCCGGAAATGAGGTACCGTTTCACAGAACTGGTTTCTTTTTGTTTGTTTTCAAGTTTTAAAGAACTAAATTTGCATTTTTTAAAATCAAAAAGTAAGAAAGATGTTCTTTACAAATAATTTTGATCAAGTATGTGTTCAAAGAAAGCAGGATAAAAAGGCTTTTTCGCTAACATCTGTATTGACTGTATTGTTGCTCAATAGGAATTAGCTTCTGTCATTTGCTAAAAGAATGAGTAGTGGGGAACAGGATATGTTGGGAATTTCATAACGGGCAACAGAACCATTCTCTTGGGTAAACCTACAGAGAAAAGAAACGGAGAGGACTCCAAATAAGTTTAATAATCCAAAAATAATTTTTCAGGTTAAAGAAAGAAGTCTTACAGTAATCACCTTAACCTTTTCCAGATTAGTCAGCTAACATGTAATATTTTGGTAGAAGCAAACTCTATTTTGAAATTGTTCATAGTGCTTTGATGAATAAGTTTCCCCTTAAAAATCAAGATAGCTCTAAAGAGAATGATACTCAGAAACCAATTGACTGGAGTGAGCGAGCTGCCATGCATTCTAACGATTGAAAGCACTGTTGTTGATTACTGGTCTAAAGTGACTCGAGAAAGTCAGGCTGGTTCACATTTTGGCACACCCTATGCGGGAGAAGACACGGGGCTGCAAGAGTCAAAACACAGCCTTGCTGTGCTGGCCTCAGCTCTCCAGAAAAACAGCTCCACCAGGAGCTGGGCACAGGTGTTTATCTGCTCAATGACTATTGCCAATATTAGCATGTCAAATCTGGAAAGATTAATTATTTTCTTAAATTTGTAATCAATACGTTCTTGTGGCCTCACAAACTTCTGCATACTTCAGTATGATTTTAAATCTACTCTTATTTCTAGCTAGCATTGAACCTATGGAGAAATCACAAAGCAGCAACAGCAGGTACTGAAGAGCACCAGATGATCGGAGGGAAATTACCCACATGCAACAGCTTTACAAAGGCCAGGAGACATATTTACCTTACAGCCAAAATAAAGCATCGTTTTAGTAGGTTTGCATCACAGTAACATTTAGAAACCAAATCTTTTATGTGAAAAATGGGGGCATCAAATTTCACCAGCTTTGGAAGTCAGTTATATGGCACATGGAAAACAGGAGCCTTCTGAACTGGGGGCTCGGAAACCACAGGGCGAGAGAATAATGTTAGCGAAGGAAAGGGAGGACAAGAAAGAAAAATTTTAAAGCTTGAGGAAAACAAAAATGTAGCTGAGAGTGTAGCTATTAAAGTGTGTTAAGGGAAAAATCAAGCTCTATATATCTACACTGAAGAACTGGCTAATTGTGGTGCATAAGAAAGACCGGACTTAAAAACCTCTGGCGTTCACACAAGATGTAACACAATGAGTCCAGAGGGCTAATGGTGTTTGGATAAAGTAGACAAATTCCCAGGTATAATGACGAGGTCAGGCACTCCAGAACGTGGTTGAGTGCTCAAAGTAAATACACAAAAGCAGAAAGGTCTAGAGCAGCAGTTCTCAACCTGGGGGTCGAACGACCCTTTCACAGGGGCTGCCCAGTTCATAACAGTAGCAAAATGACAGTTATGAAGTAACAACGAAAATAATGTTATGGTTGGGGGGCGGTTCAACACAACAGGAGGAACTATATTAAAGGGTCGCATTAGGAAGGTTGAGAACCATTGGTCTAGACGGTTTGCATTGAGAAGTTCTAGGTGAAAACGTATTCCTGGATTAAGCCACAATTGCTAGTCACCCTTCCCTCCAGCTTTGGAAGCCTTGGGCAAAATGGAGTGTGCTAGAGGACTTAACCAGGGATAAGATTTAACCCCAGACTCTGCACTCTGCCCTAAAGGAAGCACACTCCCAGTGTGTGACCCTTGCAGCTTCTCCACACCTTTCCAGGATATAAACGGTCTATCTTAGTAGGGAAAGCGTCCAGGCCCCCTCACTTTCTGTGTATCTCTACAGTTAAATCAGATGAATCTTATGGACCCATAATTTTCATCCAAACAAAAATGGAAAAGTTGATGTGTGAAGAGAAAAGGCATAATGCAAAGGTTTTGAGGCTCGTGAGGAGGACTTAAAGCCACAGTAGCAGTAAGATCTTTCCCTTCTGTGTTCTGCTTAGGGTCAAACTGACACGCATACACTCACATATGCATGCACACTCTCACAAGCACACACACTAGCTCTCTTCTCAAGGACAAACATCCTGCGGTTGGGCTGATTCTGTAACGGGTAGCACCTGAGTTAGGTCAAATGTCTAAGAGCATATCACTGACTCCAAACCTTACTGCCTCCATTGCCACATAAACCTCATTCAAAGTTTTCCAAAGGGCCACTGGGCTTCAATTATGCATTTGCTTAGCCCCTCACGCCCCCCCCCCCCAGGGTTGGGGATACACTCCTGTGAATTTCTACCATGTACTACAGACTTTCTGCAGTCAGCACTGAGGTAAGAGTGCTGCAGGTCACACTCCCACCCAACTATATCCTCTCAAAGACCTGTTTACTCCACCCCATGGCAAAGGATGACCACTACAAATTTGGGGCGAGCCATTTCCTATCCCTACCTTAAGCCCCTGTGGTTCATCACGCAGATCCACATTACACACTTAAATGCAGCGATGTAAATGGCAAACAGTCAAACTGGAAACTGGGTCTGGCCCTTCAGTAGCCTTTGAATGGAGTGTAAGTTGGCTGTAAGAAGAGCTACTTAAAATATTTCATTTTAATATGGTCAGAAAACAGGCAATTAGAACAAGCAGTCTGAAGTCAGGCAAAGCAGAGAGAAGAGCAACTCCAACCAAACCAAGAACCACAAGGTTGTGGCATTTTCAAAGGGAATTTACGTTGGGTCACTAGAATAAATAGTCCTGAGATCCTGGGATTCGTTTGAGGAAACCCTAGATACAAACTGTGCTTTAGAATGCTGTGACAGTCTCTCTAAGTGGAGCAATCAGTAAGAGGGTATACATACCATAGGCAGGGGCAGCTGTGCTGTAACCATATGGGGTTCCGTAGCCTAGTGCAAAGAAGGAGGTAGATCAGTCCAGGACAAAGAGCACTGGTCCAAGCCATCATATTCCCTGACCCAAATCTTGGGCCCTGAAAACTCCTTCCAGAAGGTGGATGAATGAGCACCACTCCCAGAGGTATGCTAGCCAGACCCTTCCTTAGATCCAGAAGCTGCTGCCTGGTCTACAAAACTCTCTACTTGGCCTAGCAGAATAACCTGGAATTCTTTCTTACAGAACTTCCCGCACTGTGTTGTAATTACCAACTTCTTGTCTGTCTTCCCCACTATACCAAGTTTTATTCACCTCTGTATCACCTGAGCCACAGAATGACTGGCATACAAAGTGTAATTTGTTAAAAAACAAGTACTTATAACAATCAAATGACTAATTCCTCAAAGGTGTAGAAAATAACTTTTCAGGTTTCTCTTCAGAAAACAGTGGCAGCTAAGATGCTAAGATTTCAATTCCCATTTAAAGAAGACAACACAAGGCTCATTTGTGAGATCAAGGACCAGACCAATGGCTGACTGATCAGTCAACGAATTCCTGGCTTCAACACAAGATCTGAGAGAGGAGACCCCAGAGAATGCTAGTGATACTGACATAAGCATTTAGTGCCGATGAAAAAGGCTAGCATTATTATTCAGGAAAACATACTACCAACGAGCACAAAAACTTTGAGCTAATTCTGGCACTGGTTTCTCATACAAGGGGGTTCAAAAAGTCTGTAGGAAAATTCAAATTTTTTAAATTAATTTTTTATTAATAATTTTATTTTGGGGCTCTTACGAATCTTACAACAACCCATCATTCAATTGTATTAAGCACCTGTGTACAGATATTGCCATCAAGGTTTCCAAAACATTTTCTTTCTACTTGAGCCCTTTGGTATCAGCTTCTTTCCCCTTTCCTCTCACCCTCGTGAATCCTTGATCAATTATATATTATTGTTATTTCATGTCTTCCACTATCCATTATCTCCATTCACCCACATTTCTGTTATTGGTCACCCTGGGGGTAGGCGATATATCCAACCTTGTGATGGGTTTTCACTTTCTCTCCCTCGCACCCCCTTCCCCCACCATTCCCCTACCCTCATGGTATCACTATTCCCACTACTGTTCCTGAGGGTTTTATTGGTCCTGAATTTCTTGTGTTGAGAGCTCTTATCTGAACCAATGGGTTTACTCCTATCTAGCTGGATTTGTAAGGTAGAACTGGGTCATAAAAAGGGGTGGAGGGAAGAATTTATTTCAGAGGACAGCACTGAAGCTGCAGCTCAGGGAGAGGGACATGTCTGATCAGAGCACACGGGAGCAAATGAAGGGAGAGGAAGAGAGAGTTGAGGGCATCCTGGCCCTTCAAGCCTTGAGGATGACATTCCCACTCAGAGAATTCCCCCCCAGAGAAGACCATATGGCCGGCCCCTCTATGAGACACGACATCTCTCACGGACCCATAGCCCTACATGGGATAACACTGGAGACACAGTGTGGGAATTGCGCCCGATCTGATCCCACCACACCGAGGCAAAACACTAAGGGC